CATAAAAAGTAAAATTAAACGCCGAAGGTTTGTATAAGAAAATTTTTGATACTCGAATTTCAAAATGCAAAGAAACGAAAAACGTTTCAAATGGAAAACAAAAAGAGCCAGAAATTGACTTGACAATTGATGATTTTATTTTGTTATAATAGGTCCTAAGTTAGCTAAATTTTGTCTGAAAAAAAAACATTTGCCTCTGCTTAATCGAAGTTTGGATTGTTTTGTTTTATATCCAACTGATGTATCTAAGCTTGAGCAAACCATTGATAACTCAATAAAAATGGTCATGATGGTTTCAGCAATAATAAGATTGAACTGTGTGCACCAATCGTCAGTCCAATCTCGGTACAAGATTTTAATAAGTGCAAGTAAGAGGGTGTTTTTCCTGAAACATATAAAATTGCTAAAGTTGTTTCTTTGCATAAAAGTTGTTTCCAATTGGACACAAATAACTATCGACCAATAAATCTTCTTAGTTCATTCAGAAAATTTGTTGGAAAAATGGTTTCCAGTACATTGAGTTGCTTCATTGGACCACATATACTACAAGCAAAACGGCATTTCGCTTTTCGAAAAAAAAGACTTCTTGAATGCATGTTCGTATTCAAAAAACTGACTTCATATATAAAATTTTTGACAAGAAAGAAAGTGGAACAGCGACTTTTGTTGATTTAGAAAAAGCCCTAGGTAGAGTTGAACATGTTATACTTATTGATAAAATGGAAAAACAGTTTATCGGGAAAAGTTTAAACAAAAGTTGCACGATTATCTCTTTGAAAAAGTCCGCGGGTTGAACCAAACGGAAATAAATTGAGTATGCAAAAAACAAATTGCCGTGTGCCTAAGTATTCGAAACTTAGACCTCTTTTTTGTTGTGTATATTAAAGACTTTCCTACTTTTCTCAAAGATAGTGAGGCTGCCTTTTTTTACAGTCTATACGATAATATGAATTCCTTCAAAAAAATTTCTTCTGCTGAATTTTTATACGTTGATATAAATTGTGTGGATAATTGAAGTGCGGGTAACAAGCTTATTTACATCCTTCTAAGAAAGGCTCAGCAATTTGGTAAAAAACGTTGTGTTCCAAAAAATTTTGAGCTGGCTTGTGAAAATTTAGAATATGCAGCGAGTTTCAAGTACCTCGGACTCATGCTCGACAAGATGTTTCAACATAAATGACCAGATTGAAAATGTTTGTAACAAACTGAGAAAATTTCATTTAGCGATGTATCTCGCGAGAACTTGCTTCTCTAGATTCGATTCTAAACTCTACAATTCTATTTCTTCCTATGTAATTTCAGTCATATCATGCTGTTTTTTTTGCTTACGGATGTGGCGCAAAAAGCAAAATCAATTAATTTTAACCTGTTCAGAAAAAGACATTGCATACCATCTTTTTTAAGCTTAAGTTTGAACACATTCCCAGAAGTTTTTAGACGACAAGAACAAATTGCACTTAAATTTTCTGCTTTTGGACTGACTTATGTCTGCAAGAAAAACTGGAGTAAAAATGAAAAATTTTTTTAACCTGCTGTCAAAACTACCAAAAAAAACTCTGTTTCGATAAAAATTAATCAGAACGTATACATTTTTGGATGATACCAAAATGAGTCTCAAAATCTTTGTTTCTCTGACTGAGATTGAGTTCAAGTCCTTTTTTAAAAAATGTAAGCTTTTTGTTTGCGATAGTGGAAGGATGTTTTCTCTTTTTTACTATCAGTAAGCTTCTTTTTAAGAGCCGTTTTTTGTGTTATAGGGGTGACATGGAGTGACGCTACTAGGAGAGTTGAATAACCCGTATGGCATTTCTGATGTAGCTTTTATAATTTAACTGATATATGAAAAAAGCATCTTATATGTTTGTCTACCTCGAAACTCAAATTCAATTTTCAATCACATTCGAATTGATTTAAAAATTATATCTCACTCAACTTCCCTCAAATGTCTTTCAGCTGCCTGATTTCGCATTTAATTTTGATTTTCAAAGCACTTGAATTCGAGTTTTCTTCCAACAATTAATGTGGTTTAAACAAAATTAGCTTTTTTTCTACAGGTGTCAGCAACAAAATCTAGAAAAATTTAATTACCTCCTTTGCAATTTAATCGGGTCTGGCAGAGAGTGGATCCCAGAAGACGGATTCCCATCGAATCTCATTGAAGTCCTGTGTTGAGTCTCGTTGAGATTGAAGAGTGTTCCGGATTGCTTCATTCACATTCAATTCATCCCCTGTGGCTATGTAGGTGGAGTCAGTCACAGAATCAACCATCACGGAAGAAACTATTTCATTTGAAAGTTTAACCACATCCTTCGAGTTTATATACAAGTCGCCTTTGGAATTGTCCGCAAACTGTTTCAAGTTTGAGAAGAATGATCCCTTGGATATATGTTTGCCCTCAACTCTGATAGTTTTGGCCGACACTTTTTGGCCAACTGCCACATATTCCAGCTCGAACATATCGAAAATGTCAGGAAAATGTGTAAGCGAGTATTCCAGATCCCTGCACTTTTGATCAGTGCGACTAATAATGGAAAAGGTTCGCTGTCGCTTTAATCCCGCGTTGCTCCTCCGTTTGTCAATCAGTGCGAAATCAGTCGATTCTAAATCACTTTCTGTGTGTCTCCACTTGATTCTGATTTTCTCCATTGGAACTAACTCTATCTTTGATTCAGTCATGTTTTCCTTCTTGCTTTCATTGAGAAATCGAAAAACATGTGAAATGATGTCTTGGTTTATCATTTCAATGTCGAACGTCACTTCGCTTCTATTTCGAAGTGGGTCTCTGTTGCACTTGCCGGAACTGGTAACCATCTCAGCCAGCGGTCTAATGAAGAATCGCCTCGCGTACAGATGTTTCCAGACGGCAACGCGACTGCCTCCATAACGCACAATGGCTACACTCCCTGGCGCTAACTCAAGTTGAAAAAATCCCATTTCTGCGCAAACCCCAATTTAATTTTTTTCAAAGAAAACCAAAGTTAGTTCCAGAGAAAAAAACCAACAACATAAAAATTCATTAATCATGTTTGGACCTTTTGCAACCTCTGTTTTCCAAGTTTTTTTTGTTTAAGTTTTTTCAAAGAAACTGAGTTTCTCCGTCCAAGAATATGCATATAGAAGAAGAAATTAACGCAACCAAACTTTTTTCTTAAGTTTATACAGATTTTTAAAAAGATTTTGAGTATGAAGTCTTGCAAATTTGAAATCAAAACAAACAAGACTGCTCGTATCAGGGCGAAGCACTGAATGTTCCGTTCCGACTGTCTTTAAAGATTTATGGAGCGGTAATAACATTTGAGATTTGAGATTTTTTGTGAAACTCATCGCCCACATGCCATACAAAAAACAAAGTGAAAAACTTCGCTCCTAGTACCAAATCAATTATGGCAATTCAGCTTCTTTCAACTAATTGGGAACTCTAAGGCGGATTAAATGCCTGCTTGCGCGTTAATAGCGCGAAATATAACGCGCGTTAATTGTCCCAAATTAGCCAAAAATTGCAATCTTTTAACCCCATAACTTTACAAAAAAAAGATCACAGGTGAAATATCTTTTCGATTTTGAGCTCAGGACAACAATAGCTTTCGAATGATATAAAAAATTCCGTCAAATTGGCTAGTTAAAAAACAGGTTATTGGGAAAAGTTTAAACAAAAGTTGCACGATTATCTTTTTGAAAAAGTCCGCGGGTTGAATCAAACGGAAATAAATTGACAATGCAAAAAACAAATTGCCGTGTGCCTAAGAATTCGAAACTTAGACCTCTTTTTTGTTGTGTATATTAAAGACTTTCCTACTTTTCTCAAAGATAGTGAGGTTGCCTTTTTTACAGTCTATACAATAATATGAATTGCTTCAAAAAAATTTCTTCTGCTGAATTTTTATACGTTGATATAAATTGTGTGGATAATTGAAGTGCGGGTAACAAGCTCATTTACATCCTTCTAAGTAAGGCTCAGCAATTTGGTAAAAAACGGTGTGTTCCAAAAAAATTTTGAGCTGGCTTGTGAAAATTTAGAATATGCAGCGATTTTCAAGAACCTCGGACTCATGCTCGACAATATGTTTCAACATAAATGACCAGATTGAAAAGGTTTGTAACAAACTAAGAAAATTTCATTGAGCGATGTATCTCGCGAGAACCTGTTTCTCTAGATTCGATTCTAAACTCTACAATTCTATTTCTTCCTATGTAATTTCCGTCATATCATGCGGTTTTTTTGCTTACGGATGTGGCGCAAAAAGCAAAATCAATTAATTTTAACCTGTTCAGAAAAAGACATTGCATACCATCTTTTTTAAGCTTAAGTTTGAACACATTCCCAGAAGTTTTTAGACAACAAGAACAAATTGCACTTAAATTTTCTGCTTCTGGACTGACTTATGTCTGCAAGAAAAACTGGAGTAAAAATGAAAAATTTTTTTTACCTGCTGTCAAAACTACCAAAAAAAACTCTGTTTCGATACAAATTAATCAGAACGTATAAATTTTTGGTTGATACCAAAATGAGTCTCAAAATCTTTGTTTCTCTGACTGAGATTGAGTTCAAGTCCTTTTTCAAAAAATGTAAGCTTTTTGTTTGCGATAGTGTAAGGATGTTTTCTCTTTTTTACTATCAGTAAGCTTCTTTTTAAGAGCCGTTTTTTGTGTTATAGGGGTGACATGGAGTGACGCTACTAGGAGAGTTGAATAACCCGTATGGCATTTCTGATGTATAGTTTATAATTTAACTGATATATGAAAAAAGCATCTTATATGTTTGTCTACCTCGAAACTCAAATTCAATTTTCAATCACATTCGAATTGTTTTAAAAACTATATGTCACTCAACTTCCCTCAAATGTCTTTCAGCTGCCTGATTTCGCATTTAATTTTGATTTTCAAAGCACTTGAATCCGAGTTTTCCTCCAACAATTAATGTGGTTTAAACAAAATTAGCTTTTTTTCTACAGGTGTCAGCAAAATCTAGATCTAACAAAATCTAACAAATCTAACAAAATCTAGAAAAATTTAATTACCTCCTTTGCAATTTTATCGGGTCTGGCAGAGAGTGGATCCCAGAAGACGGATTCCCATCGAATCTCATTGAAGTCCTGTGTTGAGTCTCGTTGAGATTGAAGAGTGTTCCGGATTGCTTCATTCACATTCAATTCATCCCCTGTGGCTATGTAGGTGGAGTCAGTCACAGAATCAACCATCACGGAAGAAACTATTTCATTTGAAAGTTTAACCACATCCTTCGAGTTTATATACAAGTCGCCTTTGGAATTGTCCGCAAACTGTTTCAAGTTTGAGAAGAATGATCCCTTGGATATATGTTTGCCCTCAACTCTGATAGTTTTGGCCGACACTTTTTGGCCAACTGCCACATATTCCAGCTCGAACATGTCGAAAATGTCAGGAAAATGTGTAAGCGAGTATTCCAGATCCCTGCACTTTTGATCAGTGCGACTAATAATGGAAAAGGTCACCTGTCGCTTTAATCCCGCGTTGCTCCTCCATTTGTCAATCAGTTCGAAATCAGTCGATTCTAAATCACTTTCTGTGTGTCTCCACTTGATTCTGATTTTCTCCATTGGAACTAACTCTATCTTTGAATCAGTCATGTTTTCCTTCTTGCTTTCATTGAGAAATCGAAAAACATGTGAAATGATGTCTTGGTTTATCATTTCAACGTCGAACGTCACTTCGCTTCTATTTCGAAGTGGGTCTCTGTTGCACTTGACGGAACTGGTAATCAGTTCAGCCAGCGGTCTAATGAAGTATCGCCTCGCGTACAGATGTTTCCAGACGGCAACGCGACTGCCTCCATACGGCACAATGGCTACACTCGCTGGCGCCAACTCAAGTTGAAAAAATCCCATTTCTGCGCAAACCCCAATTGAATTTTTTTCAAAGCAAACCGAAGTTAGTTCCAGAGAAAAAAACCAACAACATAATAATTCTTTAATCATGTTTGGACCTTTTGCAACCTCTGTTTTCCAAGTTCTTTGTTTCAGTCTTTTCAAAGAGACTGAGTTTCTCCGTCCGAGAATATGCATATAGAAGAAGAAATTAACGCAACCAAACTTTTTTCTTAAGTTTATACAGATTTTTAAAAAGATTTTGAGTATGAAGTCTTGCAAATTTGAAATCAAAACAAACAAGACTGCTCGTATCAGGGCGAAGCACTGAATGTTCCGTTCCGACTGTCTTTAAAGATTTATGGAGCGGTAATAACATTTGAGATTTGAGATTTTTTGTGAAACTCATCGCCCACATGCCATACAAAAAACAAAGTGAAAAACTTCGCTCCTAGTACCAAATCAATTAGGGCAATTCAGCTTCTTTCAACTAATTGGGGGATTAAATGCCTGCTTGCGCGTTAATAGCGCGAAATATAACGCGCGTTAATTGTCCCAAATTAGCCAAAAATTGCAATCTTTTAACCCCATAACTTTACAAAAAAAAGATCACAGGTGAAATATCTTTTCGATTTTGAGCTCAGGACAACAATAGCTTTGGAATGATATAAAAAATTCCGTCAAATTGGCTAGTTAAAAAACAGGTTATTGGGAAAAGTTTAAACAAAAGTTGCACGATTATCTTTTTGAAAAAGTCCGCGGGTTGAATCAAACGGAAATAAATTGACAATGCAAAAAACAAATTGCCGTGTGCCTAAGAATTCGAAACTTAGACCTCTTTTTTTTTGTGTATATTAAAGACTTTCCTACTTTTCTCAAAGATAGTGAGGTTGCCTTTTTTACAGTCTATACAATAATATGAATTGCTTCAAAAAAATTTCTTCTGCTGAATTTTTATACGTTGATATAAATTGTGTGGATAATTGAAGTGCGGGTAACAAGCTTATTTACATCCTTCTAAGTAAGGCTCAGCAATTTGGTAAAAAACGGTGTGTTCCAAAAAAATTTTGAGCTGGCTTGTGAAAATTTAGAATATGCAGCGATTTTCAAGAACCTCGGACTCATGCTCGACAATATGTTTCAACATAAATGACCAGATTGAAAAGGTTTGTAACAAACTAAGAAAATTTCATTGAGTGATGTATCTCGCGAGAACCTGTTTCTCTAGATTCGATTCTAAACTCTACAATTCTATTTCTTCCTATGTAATTTCCGTCATATCATGCGGTTTTTTTGCTTACGGATGTGGCGCAAAAAGCAAAATCAATTAATTTTAACCTGTTCAGAAAAAGACATTGCATACCATCTTTTTTAAGCTTAAGTTTGAACACATTCCCAGAAGTTTTTAGACAACAAGAACAAATTGCACTTAAATTTTCTGCTTCTGGACTGACTTATGTCTGCAAGAAAAACTGGAGTAAAAATGAAAAATTTTTTTAACCTGCTGTCAAAACTACCAAAAAAAACTCTGTTTCGATAAAAATTAATCAGAACGTATAAATTTTTGGTTGATACCAAAATGAGTCTCAAAATCTTTGTTTCTCTGACTGAGATTGAGTTCAAGTCCTTTTTCAAAAAATGTAAGCTTTTTGTTTGCGATAGTGGAAGGATGTTTTCTCTTTTTTACTATCAGTAAGCTTCTTTTTAAGAGCCGTTTTTTGTGTTATAGGGGTGACATGGAGTGACACTACTAGGAGAGTTGAATAACCCGTATGGCATTTCTGATGTAGCGTTTATAATTTAACTGAAATATGAAAAAAGCATCTTATATGTTTGTCTACCTCGAAACTCAAATTCAATTTTCAATCACATTCGAATTGTTTTAAAAATTATATGTCACTCAACTTCCCTCAAATGTCTTTCAGCTGCCTGATTTCGCATTTAATTTTGATTTTCAAAGCACTTGAATCCGAGTTTTCCTCCAACAATTAATGTGGTTTAAACAAAATTAGCTTTTTTTCTACAGGTGTCAGCAAAATCTAGATCTAACAAAATCTAACAAATCTAACAAAATCTAGAAAAATTTAATTACCTCCTTTGCAATTTTATCGGGTCTGGCAGAGAGTGGATCCCAGAAGACGGATTCCCATCGAATCTCATTGAAGTCCTGTGTTGAGTCTCGTTGAGATTGAAGAGTGTTCCGGATTGCTTCATTCACATTCAATTCATCCCCTGTGGCTATGTAGGTGGAGTCAGTCACAGAATCAACCATCACGGAAGAAACTATTTCATTTGAAAGTTTAACCACATCCTTCGAGTTTATATACAAGTCGCCTTTGGAATTGTCCGCAAACTGTTTCAAGTTTGAGAAGAATGATCCCTTGGATATATGTTTGCCCTCAACTCTGATAGTTTTGGCCGACACTTTTTGGCCAACTGCCACATATTCCAGCTCGAACATGTCGAAAATGTCAGGAAAATGTGTAAGCGAGTATTCCAGATCCCTGCACTTTTGATCAGTGCGACTAATAATGGAAAAGGTCACCTGTCGCTTTAATCCCGCGTTGCTCCTCCATTTGTCAATCAGTTCGAAATCAGTCGATTCTAAATCACTTTCTGTGTGTCTCCACTTGATTCTGATTTTCTCCATTGGAACTAACTCTATCTTTGAATCAGTCATGTTTTCCTTCTTGCTTTCATTGAGAAATCGAAAAACATGTGAAATGATGTCTTGGTTTATCATTTCAACGTCGAACGTCACTTCGCTTCTATTTCGAAGTGGGTCTCTGTTGCACTTGACGGAACTGGTAATCAGTTCAGCCAGCGGTCTAATGAAGTATCGCCTCGCGTACAGATGTTTCCAGACGGCAACGCGACTGCCTCCATACGGCACAATGGCTACACTCGCTGGCGCCAACTCAAGTTGAAAAAATCCCATTTCTGCGCAAACCCCAATTGAATTTTTTTCAAAGCAAACCGAAGTTAGTTCCAGAGAAAAAAACCAACAACATAATAATTCTTTAATCATGTTTGGACCTTTTGCAACCTCTGTTTTCCAAGTTCTTTGTTTCAGTCTTTTCAAAGAGACTGAGTTTCTCCGTCCGAGAATATGCATATAGAAGAAGAAATTAACGCAACCAAACTTTTTTCTTAAGTTTATACAGATTTTTAAAAAGATTTTGAGTATGAAGTCTTTTCATTGCAAATTTGAAATCAAAACAAACAAGACTGCTCGTATCAGGGCGAAGCACTGAATGTTCCGTTCCGACTGTCTTTTAAGATTTATGGAGCAGTAATAACATTTGAGATTTGAGATTTTTTGTGAAACTCATCGCCCACATGCCATACAAAAAACAAAGTGAAAAACTTCGCTCCTAGTACCAAATCAATTATGGCAATTCAGCTTCTTTCAACTAATTTGGAACTCTAAGGCGGATTAAATGCCTGCTTGCGCGTTAATAGCGCGAAATATATCGCGCGTTAATTGTCCCAAATTAGCCAAAAATTGCAATCTTTTAACCCCATAACTTTACAAAAAAAAGATCACAGGTGAAATATCTTTTCGAATTTGAGCTCAGGACAACAATAGCTTTCGAATGATATAAAAAAATTCCGTCAAATTGGCTAGTTAAAAAGTCGAAATTTGTCTTAAGAAAAAAAACCCATCCCGAGCACAAATATTCCGTTACTTTCGTTACGAAAGTCGGAACGACAAATAAAGCAAATTAAATAAACCAATATGGTTGGCTCGTCTTGGCCTAGATCAAAAAATCAAGTAAACAAATTTCGCAAGTAAACAATTTGATTGCAAATAGCTGAATATGAGTTTGATCCTCGCTGCATGGACGTAATTTTTTAAACTTGATTCACCAGTGGCAAAGATAAAAGCAAATTGGGCAGTTTGCTCTCAAGAGTGCTGGCTCCCTTCCCCCCCCCCCCCCCCCCCCCTCAGGGATTCGAACCCCTGTCGACCCTCGGTCAATTATTTGCTCTCGGTCAATCTAAGATCATGACTCAAAATTTAGAAAAACTCTGCCCACAATTGCTTTTGAGAACAGGCATTTTACAAATTAAAATCATAAACTTGTATATACACTAGTGGATGAAATTAAAGGCAAATTCAGGTTTTTACTCTCTAAAAAGCCTAACTCTAAGAAACATTGTGAACAACATTTACTCAAAGTCTAAGAACAGTTTATTTTTAGCAAAGTTGTCACACTGAACAAATGGATTTTATTAATTAAGGGTTGTTTCACGTCACAGGAACATTTTTTTCTCCGTTTTTTCAACAAAAAGTTCCCTCCGATGCAAAACATAGCGCAGGCGGTGAAAACTAGCGTTTTCAGACCCGGAAAAAGTGGTAACTCCTTGAAACCAAAGTTTAACAAGACTGCTCGTTTCAGGGCGAATCCCTGAATGTTCCGACTGCCATTAAAGGTTTATGGAGCAGTAATAACATAAAAAATTTAAAGTTGAAACAAAGAATTTTTTTTTTCAAATTTCAGATTTTTTGTGAAAATCATCCCCCACACGCCATATAAAGTACAAAGTGAAAAATTTCGCTCCTAATAACAAATCAACTATGGCATATAAGCACCCTTAAACCAATTTGGAATGAATTCTAGGACAAACTAAATCTCGCTTACGCGTTAACAGCGCATAATATATAGCGCGGTAATTGTCCCAAATCTTTAAATCCCCATAACTTCACAAAAAATGACCACAGGTAAAAAAATCTTTTCAATTTTAGGCTCATGACAACAATACTTTTCGAATGATAAAAAAAATTTCGTCAAAATTCTAGTTAAAAAGTCGAAATTTGTCGGAAGAAAAAACCCACCCCGACCCCGAGCAGAAATTATTCCGTTAATTTCGTATCAAAAATCGTAACATTAATTTCATAGAAGGTAGCTCTGATTTTTTTCTTGGTCTATGTAAAATTTTCTGAGACAGTGAATGTTGTCAGAAATCATCCCTATAAACAGGCATTTCATAGAGTAAAAACCTGAATTTGTGCTGCA